TACTTGAAGTCAAGTTTTTGAATGAAGAGGTTTGTAAACAAAAGAAAAAAGAATAGAAGCGACTCTTGAAGTCATACTTTAAGTTGTTTTAATGAAAGTATTAAGTTATTAGCAAAGAAGTATAAAAATTTCTTGTGAACATCTTTTTTGTATGTGGTCAGAGGATCAGCAGAAAGAGTTTAGATGTTAATTTTTATAATAAATTTTAATTAATATAAATAACAAAAACTATAAATGTTATAAAAAATAAAGTTTATTAAATAATTTGAAAAAATTAAGGTAGAAAAAAAGAAAATATAAAGTAAAAATAAAACATTTCAATTATTATAGTATCAATAATAATCATAAAAAAAAAATTTATAAGAATATTTAAAATATATAAAGGATACAAAACAAGATAACAATTATATTATAAAAAGAACTATAAAATATATATACAATATTATATCTCAATACAAAAAAGTTTACTAGAAGAACTTAAGAATAGAAAATTCCAAGCTTTAAAGCAATATTAAAAAAAAATTAAAAAATGATTTACAAAAACCAAAACTTTTAGACTTTTTATCAAAATAATAAAATAAATTATTATTATTATTTGTTTTTTTTTATAAAATAATAAAATCAACTTTATTATAATAAAGTCATACAATATTGTAAATTGTGAATATAAAGTGCTATAATATATACTCTAACTCAACTTACATACTATTTTAATATAATTAAAGGTTGTAATAAGTCCATTTTTATTGACAAATAATTTTTATGTAACTATAATTAGTCCCTATATAGATTGTTGTTGGAAGAAACCCTATTATCTTCCTATCTATATTTATATTATCCTTTTATATTTCTTATTTGAATTTTAAATCTATAATACAAAATCTCTTTTATATTTTATTCCATCAGGTATTCTTTTTACAATTTTTATTACAGTATATCTATAAAATAATTACATGAAGTCTTAAATATCATCTTATTCTATCAGCAATTTTTTTTATATGACCTATTATAGCTTACCTATGGAATAATCATATGGAGTCTTGAAAAGATCTCTTTTAGTATACAAATATTCAACCTATTTGCTGAAGTTTAATAAAACCTATCTTATAATAAAATGGTTTTAATACTAAAACCAGTTAAAGTGTCTTGTGATCTTTGATTATCCCATGATTGGATAGAATCTTAACTAAAGGAGATAGTAATTATTATCATGATATGGATGGAATCTATATATATTACCTAGATATAGATGGTACTATCTTGTAATAATATTGAACTCGAAAACAATACTTGATAACCTGGAAGCACTACTATTATACTCTTGATTCACAAATCTAGAATAAATTATATTAATATTAAAATCCTTAAAAAAACTATTATTAAATATAATATTAAAGAAAAAATATATAAAAACTATCTAATAGAAATACTTTGATATAATTTTGAATTAAAAAAAAAAGCTGTTTCTATTTTTATAAGTTACTTATTAACTATAAAAAATAAAAAATAAAAATAAAAGTAATATGAATTTATATAAATAGAAAAAGCAAAAAGAGAAAGCAAGCTTTAAATAAAAATAAACAATTGATTTTTATTTATAAAAGTTGAATCAATAGTAATTGTAATAATACTTCTAATAATTCTTATTAATATTAATTTTATAAAAATAATTTTATATTGAAAATACCGAGCTTTGAAATATTATAAAAAATAAATAAAAAAAGAAATAAAAAGATATATAATAAAAATATAAAGAAAAAGTTTATAATTAAGTTTATAAAAAAATTTAAAATATAAAATATGAGAAGATAATCAAATATAAATATATAAAGAATTTATAGAAATAATAGAATAAAAAAGTTCTTAAGTTCTTCTAATCAAAAATATATATCTTTAATAAAAAAATCATTATTAAAAAAAGAAAATCTTAAATATAAATACTTAAGAAAAATTTTAACAAAAGAGTTTAAATATAAAATAAAGTAATTAAATTTTGAACTTTATTAAAATCTTATGTAATAATCTAAAAAACAATGATATTAAAAGTTAAAAAAATTTTTATTTGAACTATTAATAATATAATAAATTATTTTTAAAGTTGTATCTAAAGTTTTAAAAAAATATAAAATAAAAATGAATAGATTAAGTAAAGATTTAACTTTAATAAAATATTTTATATAATATATAATATACAAATATTTAATAAAGTATATATATTTAACTTAATAAAAGATATTTAAAAAAATAATAAAAAATAAATAAATAAAACAATATTGATAATATTTAAATAAAAACAATTATATGTTTTAAATTAATAAGGATTTATATTAATAAATTTTTTTTTTTACTAATATGCAATTATATAACAATGGTTTGTTTTTATTAAAAATTTGAAAAAAAATCTATAATAATTTACAGACTTACAAAATAATTAACTTGTTTTTATATAAAGTACTTTAAATCAAATTTTGAAAACAATATTATATTCTCTTAATATAATTGAATTAATTATTATCTATTAAGATTATTATTAATAGTTTATTACTATTAATTAACTTATAAATTAATAAATTGTTAAGTTAGAAAAAAGAATAAAAATAAAAAAGGAATAATTCAAGATCATATTAAAAAGTTTAAAAAGAAAGTCATTTTTCTCTCAAAAAAAATTTGTCTAATTGAAATAATTTTTAATTTTATTTAAACTATAGAAGAAATATTTTTTATTATTATTTATATTATCAAACAAGTTAATATAATTAATTATTTATTTAAGTTGATATCAATTTGAAATATCTTAAAAAAATATTCAAATCTCAATTTTTGTTTATTAAAGTTTTATTACTACTTGAGAAACTTAAGTAAGAAATAGAAATTTGCAATTCATATTATTAATTTCTTTATTTTTTAATATTATAAATATCTTTTTTAAAAAACTTAAACTTTTGAGAGACAAATATTTTTAAAATATTATTTTTAATTATTAATACTATTATCAAAATATATAAATATACTGTAATTAATAGAAACTTGTTTATATTTTAAAAATAATGAGTTTTTATAATAATCAATTACTTTTAATAAAAATTTGTACTACTCAAAATTTAAAATTAAAAGTAAAGGCTTTAAGAAGATTAAACAATCAAAAAAGAAAGAAAATAAGTTTTTTAATTACAAAAAATCTCTATAATTTTTACTTTAAAGGTTAAAGAGATCTTTAGTTATTTTATAATTGGTTTTTTTACCTTTGAAAACTTTTTTACTATTGATTTCAAAGGTATTATTTAACTTTTCTTGATTATTAAAAGTCAAGTTTTAGAATAAAGAGATTTATAACAATAAAAAAAAGAACAAAATAATTTTTTAAATCTTACTGCAAGTTATTTTAAAAAAAGAGAAAATGGAAAACCTTCTTGTGAACATCTTTTTTATATATAATTAAAGAATAAGTAAAAAGAGTTTTTTTAGAATCTATATTAATAATTTGAAATAAAAAATAAACAATAATAATATGCATATATAAAAATATAAAAACAAATACTATCATTTTTGATACTTTTCTTAAACTATTAAATAAACATAATAAACAAAAACTATAAACTTTCTATAATATAATAGCTATGTAAAAAAAAATTTAAATCTAATTATGAATTTTATCAACTTTTAAATTCAAGATAGTATTATAATTAAGATTTTAAATATAGATCAAACTACTTTTATCAAGGTTATCATTTTTAAATAATACAGTATATGCTATATTTATGAATCCAAGAACAGGAAAAAGAAAAAGATCTAATACTGTTTCTCCAGGTGTTCTGTACTAGAACATAGATTGTATGTTCTGTGTCTAGAGGAATTCAGTTCAGTTTTGTATTGCCTAAAAATTAAATTAAATTCTTTAAAATAAATTTGTAACAAATCTATCATTAATGTAAGCAAGATATGAACTAGTCTAGTTTCAGATTTTGATCAAAATTTAGGCTTTGCAAATTTCATGGACGATTGATTCTAAGGAATTTATTTATTCGCATCGCGTTTCATAAAAAGTGAGTTTTTTTTACATAAGCATTTCTTATTATTTTCGGCATCAGGTAAAAGCTCACTCCTAGACACGACGGATTAATTGCGCAAGTTATTTATGAAAATTTTCTACACTTTCTATTTCATTTGTTTAACAATTAACCTTTACACTGATTAACGAAACAAGTCGATAGTAATCTTTTATTATCACTGTTTCTCAGAATTCCCCAGTTGAAGTGGTTTCTATTTTTTACAAGAAAATCTTTGCAATGTCTACATCATACACCTTTTTCATGTACTACTACATTACTACAATATAATAGCTTTTTGTTATAATTGATAAGAGTGAAATCTATGCTTATAAATAAATAACCTCAAAACCTTTGCATAAAAACCTACAGAGTAACGAACCCATTAAATAATACAAATTAGTTACAGTAAAAGATATTAATTAATTAAAATTATTATTCAAGGTTTTGGCCACCTCCCAGTCCTTTAGTATTATTGATCTTTTCAGGAGTTAAAGTCCTCCCCGCTCTACTACTGGGTCTACTCAATCCTATTAACCCATTATTATTTTGCAATGTGGTCATTTCAACACTAGAATTATTACCGAGTCCTGTCGCCTGTGGGCTTGGGGGCAGCAGAATAGAACTCCTGGGAGAAGTTGCAATCGAACTAAATGGCCGAGTCGAAGCGGATGTAGAGTACCAAGCTGTTAAATCATCATCTTTGGTCGGCGAAGACAAGGGGCTCGAATTATTTTGTAAAGATCTCGCCGATAAAACTGCAGTTTGTCCTAAAGAACCTAAAGGTAATGCATCTGTCGCTTCATATTCCATTACTCCCAGTCCATCCTCACTAATCACATTATAATCATCCGCCCATCCAGGATTCGGGGATGATGTTGACCTCGGACCCCGTAGCGAATAATTTGGCGTTCCATTGTTTTGACTTGCCGCCGTATTGTTGACGGCTCCCCCTTCGGCGTTACCACCGGCGTATCCTCCAGCACTGTTTGCTCCTGTTTGTACTCCTCCCAAACTAATATTACTTGTATTTATAGCCTTGGACTTCCCTAAATTTGTCACACTACTATTTCGCGATTGCAATCCGGTTAATGACAAGTTAACTGGCGTTGAGAACGCTTTGTTAATTATCTCAAATGATCCCCCCTGCATTGCACTGTCACCACTAAGGCGTTTCTTGGAGATATACCTTTGCGATGGAAAATACTGTTGTTCGGTTGGTGATCCTTTATCCGTAATAGGAGATGGTGGAATATCTTGTATACTGATTGTCAATGAATTCTCTTTAATAGGTGATGATCGCATGTGAACCATTTCTTCTGCATCATCCATAATTGCCACTTGTACTGACAACATATCATCATTCGAAATTACAACCTTTTTGACAAATGTTCTACGAAAAGGAATACCCATTTTGTGCGTAATCTTCCACTTGACATAATTTAGCACTCTGGAGAATAAGTCAAACAAGTTTGATATACGTCTTCGAATTGTAACAGATGGTGTGTGTTGTCCTCCTTCTAATCTGTTATATTCCGGTCCATTATCCTTTCGTATCGTCGAAAGTAAAAATGAGTACACGAATCCAATGCTTAATCTTCTTCCCTTCCATGGCCCATTCTTTTTCGCACACACCCACCACACAGCAATCATTAGAAGTATCAACAAGAAGATTCCAATCATCCATTCCACCATGAAATTATAATATCCCAGTATACCATGATGCTGAGGATTCGGTGGCGGCCGAGGACGTGGGCCTAATAATAGAGGTATCGTGCTCGATGCCTCCAGCACCATTTTTCCGAGAGTCCAACTAACTTGCATATCACTAATAGAATTAACACTTTGAAAATAGGGAACATTTTTTTTCATTTTTTTGTCGGAATTGGAATCCTTGGGAACGCCAATACCCTCATGCAGAACATTAGCCAACCATGCAGCTTTAAAACACTGCATCTCTAGCCTAGGCAAGTCTATAGACGAAGAATTCCATTTTCCTTCGTGGTAATCGCTGTAAATTTTATCCCAGTCCTCTTCGCAATAACTTTTGGCTTTCTTCGTGAATTCTCGATAATTCCAAGTACCACCTAGGTCGAATACATCTTCGGAAGTATACCAATATTCTGAGATCCCAATGAAATGATTTACCGAAAAATCGATGTTCGGGGTGTGTACACCATTGAATAGGCATGGTTCATCCGTGCATTTTGTCGTCTTGTTTAATAGCGGGTAAGTGAGATTGAGGCATCTCTCAAAAGATCCGGTACCTTGCAGAGTATAATATGGTGGCGGTAGAGATCGATCTGTAAGAGCGAGATCAACGGGCAGGCAAGGATCTTTCAGAAGAAAGACCGGTTGCTCCCGTGAGCTCTCTGGATTAATGATTTTCACGTGTGTTTCGGTATAATCTCTTATCCGATCCTCAATATAACGACGACGGGCTTCATTAGTGCCATAACCCAAGAAAGTGGTTACAAACACTTGATATTCTATCTGTTGACCGTCCAACGTCCACATCGTAACTGTAGTCAAATCATTAGCATGCTTCTTCGCCTCCTCAGAACTAGGTTCAAAAGCAATTTGAGTGCTAGCACCCCCCATGTCCAGGAACCCAAAGGTGGTCGTGTGTTTTTTATCATCAAGCGATGACGGCTGTTTTGTCGTTGCTTTTGCCACTTGTCGTGAAGCAAAAACATCATGGTTTCCATCATCAAATTCGAAACCGCCCACCAAATAGTTGACGGCCACCCAACCGTATATACCCTCCATTTGGCCAGAGATCACTTGAACATGGTCAGAACATCGTTCAAACATCTTGAATCTGCTCTGGAACATTATATAGTCACAAGCATATTGTAATATAGCATCTTGCTGTGAAGTTGGCAACAGGCGCATTCCAGCAGTGGCAA